TGCCACGGCTCCAAATTCGTCAATTTTTTGTAAAGCTTCTTTTACGCTATTTTTTGGGTCTTCTAAGGTTAGTACGATGTCATCTGCAAAGGCCTTGATTTTGTATTCCCTCTTTCCTACCTTGACTCCTGTGACTTCTGTTGCCCCCCTCAGTCTCTCGTTTAGTATTTCTAATACTGTTATAAACAATAGAGGGGACAGGGGGCAGCCCTGTCTGGTTCCTTTATATATACTAAAATATTCTGTTGTGGTGTTGTTTATTACCAATTTTGCCTTCTGTTCCTTGTATATAGCTTCTATGCCTTTTCTAAATTTCTCTCCCATTCCCATCATTTCCAAACTTTTCTTCAAGAAATCCCACGAGATGTTATCGAACGCTTTTTCAGCATCTATGAATACCAAGGCCGCTTGTCTATCTATGCTCATATCCAAATATTCAATAATGTCTATCAAGTTCCTTACATTGTCCCTTAGTTGTCTCCCTGGGAGGAAGCCCGTTTGATCTTTATGTATTCTGTTGTTCAGAACCTTTTTTAGTCTTTCTGCCATTATATCTGCAAATAGCTTGTAATCATTATTTAATAGTGAAATTGGCCTATAGTTTTTCACTTCCAAGGTATCTGCCTCTTTTTTGGGAATTAAAGTAATATATGCTTCCTTCCAGGTATTCGGGATCCTTCCTTCCTTTAATATATTGTTCATCACTTCTCCTAACACTGGGGATATTTGGTTACTTAGTGTTTTATAATATTTGGCCGAGAGGCCATCTGGACCTGGCACTTTCCCATTTTTCATCTTTTTAATAGCCTTCTTTATCTCTTCTTGAGTAATTTTCTGGTCTAGTATCTCTTTTTCTTCTTTTGGGATTTGTTTTAAATGATGTTCTTGCAAAAAGTGCTCTATTTCTTGTTTTGTTTCCTTTCCTCTTTTATATAAGTCCTTATAATATTTTTGAAATATCTTCCTTATTTCTTTTGGCTCTTCCACAATCCTTTCTCCTTCCCTTATCTTACTGATCGTGTTTTGTTTTCTTCTTTCTCTTATTTGCCACGCCAAATATTTGCCTATCTTGTTTGCAGATTCAAATGTCCTCTGATTCATCATTTTAATTTTCCATTCTACCTCTTGGTCAATTATTGTAGAAAGTTTAGCTTGTAATATCTTTATATTCTGCTTTGCAATCTCCTCACTGGGGTTAATGGTTAATTTTTTTTTCATTTTCCATAATCTGTGTTAGGATCTGTTCCTTCTTTGACTCTTTTTCTTTTCTTACTTGACTATTTTTCTGTATTAAAAAGCCCCTCATAACTGCCTTTCCTGCGTCCCACACCGTCTCTATAGCAGTTTCCCCGTTTAAATTCCATTTAAAGTAATCTTCTATTGTCTCTATTGCCTTATTTACGATCTTCTGATCATTAAATAGAAATTCATTCATTCTCCATCTAGTTGTTTTAATATCCTTGCCTTTCAGCTCAATGTAAACCGCATTATGGTCAGATATAATTCTTGGGAGAATTTCTGATTTAATTAAATTCTGAGTTAATTCCTTCGAGATCCAAATGCTATCTATTCGCCCCCAGCTCTGATTTGGGTTTGAGAAGAAAGTATATTGTTTTATAGTGGGGTTTTTGAGTCTCCATGCATCAGTTAATCCCAGATTATTTACCATGTCAAAAAAGGATCGCGGTAATTTACCTTCCTTCTTCTCTTGTTTTTTTGTTAACTTATCTAAATTTGGAGACACCACCCCATTAAAGTCACCCATTAAAATCATTTTTTGATCCATCCATTCCATCAATTTATCTCCTAATTCAGAATAGAAGGCAGATTTTTTATCGTTTGGAGCATATATTCCAACAACAATTATTTTTTCTCCCTGAGACACCATCTGAACAATGATTACTCTCCCTTGATCATCTTTATATAATAATTGTGGCTCATATTTTTCCTTAATATATAATACCACCCCTCTTTTCTTCACTCTATCTGATGTCACAAAATCTAATCCCAGTCTCTTATTACATAATAGTCTCTTATGCTTATTTATTATATGCGTCTCTTGGAGACATATTAAATCATAATTCTTTTTCAATAATACATGCGTAATCTGATTCCTTTTGTTTTTATTGTTCAACCCATTCACATTCCAGTTTAGTATTTTTAACGTTATCTGTTCTGTAATATAAGTTAACTTATCAAACCTATGCGCAATCTACTGTTCTTTGTCTCCTTTCTCTAGTTCTTCTCCTTCTCCTTTTGAGCTCTCCTCTCTTTCTTCTTCTTCACTCCCCCCATTTTCTTCCCCCTGCTGGTTCCCCACCTCCTCCTCCCCCATCATTTTCCCCAGGTCCTTCTCATATCTCCTTGCAAATTTTTGTAGTTCTGAGATGGTAGACAGTTTGAACTTTTTTTCTTTGAAATAGAATGAAATACCTTCCGGAAACTCCCATCTGTACAGGATCCCATTTTTCTTCAATTGATTTGTTAATTTTTTATATGGGTCCCTCCTTCGAAGAAATCTCGAAGGAATCTCTTTATAAATAATAATTGGGTTTCCTCCAATATATAACCTTTTAACATAATTCTGTTTCAGAATTTCATTTCTTATCTCCAATGAATTAAACATGGCTATTACATCTCCTGGCAATTTTTTCCCTCTGGCTTTTGCCGGTTTTATTCTTATTCGGAATATGTTTACCAGACCATGGTTTATCTCTTCTTCTTTTCTATCTAACCATATTGCCAGCTCTTTCACCACTTTAGCTCGGATATTCTCATTTAAGTCCTCTGATATTCCTCTAAATTTTAAATTAGATTGATTCTGACGCATCTGCGTCATAGCCATGTTGTCCAACAACTCTTCCTGTATTGCTCCTATCTCTTTAACTTCTAGTCTAATCCTGTCCATCTCTTTCTTAGTGTCTTTCGTGTCCTTTTGCACCCTCTTCACTGAATCCTCCAAGCCCTTAGTTCTTACCGAGAGATCCTTAACCTTTCCTGTCAATTCTCCCACCACTTCCTCCAGTTTCTTATCTAGGGTATCTTGAACCTCTATCAATTTTCTCTCAATATACTGTTCATTATTTTTAAATTCCTTTCTTATTTTGGCCATCAAGCTATCATAATCTCTAATTTCTCTTGCCTCCTTCCCCTCTTCTTGTCTTGAAGGCCTCCTTTCCGCTAGTGTTGCCACCCCCTTCTTAGAGCCATTCGGCATTTGTATATTTGAGTTTAAATCTTCCTAATATACTATAGGGGTAAGGTATAGAGGTAACCAGGCTAGCGTCCCTCGGATAGTTGCAGCGAGGGTCCAAAATTAATTAAATTGATACAGTGCAAAAGTTAACTCTTATATAAGGTCAAGTAATAATAATACAATACAATAATAGTACTGTTTTGACTGGACCTAAGTCAAAAACAGGTGTTTTGAGTCCTCAAAGTCTTATGGTTAAATATGGTAAGCACCTGGACCACCAAAACACCTCCAGATTCAGGGGATTCTCATGGGTAGGGTTCTGCAAAGACATATTCTTTAACTTTGCATCCCGGGGTGTATGTCTCTTTAAGTCCCAAAAAGAGACAAGAGAGTCACAGCCGTCTCTGAAGACCAAGAGCGTAATAATAGTACGATTTTGACTGGATCTAGGTCAAGACAGCTGTTTGAATCCTCAAAGCCTTATAATTAAATATAGTAAGCACCTGAACCACCAAAACGCCTCCAAATTCAGATGATTCTCATGGGTAGGGTCCTGCAAAGACGTAATCTTTAACTTTGCATCCCGGGGTGTATGTCTCTTTAAATCCCAAGGAGAGACAAGAGAGTCACAGCCGTCTCTGAAGATCAAGAGCGTATCCAATTAAATTAACGAAGGTGGGCCCCTTTTAGCTTGCACCGTATGGCAATCTTTTCACAGTCTCACGGTCTTTAAACAAGGTTTAGGCACTTTAAACACAGTCTCACGGTTCCTGTCTTTAAGCACAAAGTGCAGCTAAGGCACCTATCTCCCCTACTCCGTTTGAGTCCCAATTCTCCCCAGTCCTGCCGTTTAGAAACAGAAAAACTTCCACTAAAATCCGTGCTAGCTGTAGCACTCTCCTTCCCGATGAAACAGAAAAGTCTTTTCCCCCTCTAAACCGTTTAATAATTCCGCTGTAACTGTTACCTTGCCTCCGACACTTTATACTTTGTGTCTGAGGTCTTTCCACCACACCACACTCACTTGGCGGTTTGTTTTCTTCTTTTTGTTTCCTCCTCTCTCCCAGCGTCTTGCTATACTCTCTTATCACCTTATCGCCAGAGATGGATTCCTCCTCCTTTTTCACCAACTTATTCCTTCTCCGCTGGGTTCTTATCAAAACATTCCATTAATCTTACCCTAATTGATGTTCTCCAATATTTTCTTTAACCTCCATTGCTTTTTCCACAGTGTTTTTATAACTCCTTCCCAGCTTCTCCGCAGTTGTTGGAGGTCCGCCGCTTTCCCTCGGAGCTTGAGGCTTCACAGCATGGAGTTGTTGCCTCCCCTTTACGCTGCAGCTCCAGCCTTGTTAAAACGCCGGCAACACAGGCGAGCACAGACAGCGTCGCAGGGTGCTTGTCCCCCAGGGTTCCCTCCTGTGGTTTCGGGGTTCACGTAGCCTTCATGACCCCTCTAAATCTCCATGCTGTTCGAGACTCCCCCGAAGGAGTTATCTCGCACTCCTTTTCTGTGGCCGCGGCGTCCCAGAAGTCTCTGGCGGTTCCCTCACTGCGAGAAGCAAAGTTACAGGGAACCAGGCAGAGGGCCTTCTCGGTAGTGGCACCCTCCCTGTAGAACACCCTCCCACCAGATGTCAAAGAGATAAACAACTACCAGACTTTTAGAAGACATCTGAAGGCAGCCCTTTTTAGGGAAGCTTTTAATGTTTGATGTATTACAGTATTTTAATGTTTTTCTGGAAGCTGCCCAGAGTGGCTGGGGAAGCCCAGCCAGATGGGCAGGGTATAAATAATAAATTATTATTATTATTATTATTATTATTATTATTATTTCATAAAAATTGGGAACATGGGTAGGAAGCGGGGGAATGTAGGAGATGTGTGAAATAAGAGAAGGGGCAAATGGTGTTTGATTTCTTCTTTTCCCTTTGTTCTCTTCCTTGGAATCCAAAAAGGACTTCCTCTCTGCCCACTCTGAAGAAGGTGTTACAGAAGAATGTCAGAATTCCAGGGGACGGGAATAGACATTGAAATGTGAGAAATGTGGAATATGCTTCACTGAATGAGCACACATAGCTCACATCAACAAACTCACAGGAGAGAAACCTTTTAAAGATTTGAAGTGTGGAAAGAGTTTCACTGATAGTGAAAAACCTAGAATACATCAGCGGACTGCCATGGGTAAGAAAGGATTCCAATGCAGGGAGTGTGGGAAGAGCTTCAGTCAGAATGGAAACCTTAAATTACACCAAAGGACTCACACAGGGGAGAAACCATTTAAATGTATGGAGTGTGGAAAGAGCTTCAGTCAGAATGGAAACCTTAGAATACATCAACGTACACATACAGGGGAGAAACCGTTTAAATGCATGGCTTGTGGAAAGAGCTTTAGTGATAGTGGAACCCTTAGAAAACATCAACATTTTCACACAGGAGCGAAACCATTTAAATGTATGGAGTGTGGAAAGAGCTTCAGTTTCAGTTCAAACCTTAGACAACATCAACAGACTCACACTGCGGAGAAACCATTTAAATGCATGGAGTGTGGAAAGAGCTTTAGTCAAAATGCGCACCTAACTTTACACCATCAAACTCACACAGGTGAGAAACCATTTAGATGTATGGAGTGTGGAAAGAGCTTCATTCAGATTGGAAACCTTAGAATACATCAACGGACTCATACAGGGGAGAAACCATATACATGTATGGAGTGTGGAAAGAGCTTCAGTCAGAGTGGAGAGGTTAGATCACATCAACGGACTCATACAGGGGAGAAACCATTTAAATGCCTGGAGTGCGGAAAGAGCTTTTCTGATAATGAACACCTTAGAAGACATCAACAGACTCACACAGGAGAGAAACCATTTAAATGCCTGGAGTGCGGAAAGAGCTTCAGTCATAATGGACACCTTAGAAGACATCAACGGACTCACACAGGGGAGAAACCATTTAAATGCATGGAGTGTGGAAAGAGCTTCAGTCAGAGTGGACACCTCAATATACATCTACAGACTCACACAGGGGAGAAACCATATAAATGTATAGAGTGCAGAAAGAGCTTTAGTGATAATGTAAGCCTTAGAACACATCAATGGACTCACACAGGGGAGAAACCATATAAATGTATGGAGTGTGAGAAGAGTTTTAGTATTAGTGGAAGCCTTAGAAGACATCAACGGACTCACACAGGAGAGAAACCATTTAAACGCCTGGAGTGCGGAAAGAGCTTCAGGCAGAGTGGACACCTTAGAAGACATTGGCAGACACATGACGGAGAAACTGTTTAAATGTATGGCGTGTGGTAGGAGCTGCAGTCAGAGTGGAACCCTTGATTTATGTCAACAAACTCACACAAAAGACAAACCTTATAAATATCAGGAACGTAGATAGATGTTCAGTCCTAGTGGAAGTTTAAAATCAACAGACTCACGGACAGGAAGAACTTTAGGAGTTGAAACCCTACAAAGCATCAACAAACTCAAAGAGGAGAAGCAGCTTAAATGAAAAGATTGCAAAAAGTGCTTTATTTACAATGGAGTGTTTAAGGAACATCCAGGGACTCTCACATGGAAGAACCCATTTTGATGTCTGGAGTGCGGGACGTCTTCCTCTCGGAGTCCACTCTTTTCTTCACAGAAATGAACTCACCAGGAAATCAGTCATTAACACATGTTGTGTATGTGAAGTTCTGGAATTTATGTGTAAAACTGTATAGTAATGAAATATTGAAGGCAATGTCAAACACTGTGATTATAATCTAAGATGTAAAGTACCTTTTGATAGAGAAGGGGTGAGGGTTTATCTGGATTACTTGGTGGTCAGTGAGGATTAGGGCTGGGGGATATATTTTTCCATATTGGTTTCTAGACCACATCGTGATAACCTTCCAAAAACAATTGATATGGCAACACCCCACAGATCACAGTGTCTGGGATGCTCATTTGCCTGGAAGCAGCCGGCAGAAAGCTTTGCTTCGTGAAGCCCCAGCAGATGCCAAGTTGCTGACTTCCCTCCAAAACCACAGGAAGGGAAACACACCTCCATTGCCCTGTGTCCTTCCAGCCTCTTTCCTCCCTTGCTCCCTTCTGCCGGTTTGTGTGCCTGACTTAGATATCCTGTGTGGTGTATTTCTTTACGGCTGAAACTGGATTTGCTCTCAGAAGCAAAGTTTTGTGTATCACTGGGGGCCCAGGGAGAACTGTATGCTTTGAAAACTCAGTTAACTATTACTGAAGAACTCCTACTGCCTCTGTGTGTGTTTTTGACCTCAGTGTGGGAATTGCTCTACACATGGCCCCTACCCTGCCGATACTTGGCTTATGCCCTGGAGTTGCTGTACTCAAGCATGCAAGATGGGTGCATCTGTGTGTGACTTGCTTTTGCACCAAACTCTCACCCCCCCACCACATGATCTCCGAATACTGCTTCTTCACTAGAACTTCTCGCGGCCTCCTACGTGTTCTGAAGAAAACTTAAATTACTGTAATTTAATGGGAGATTTTCCCCCAAGCCTTATTGCAAGAGGGGGAAGGATGGGTTGCAGGTACCAGGGGAGTTTCCTGGGGGGGCCATCTTCACTCATGAACCCCACGGGGCAACCCCAGAGCTCCTGCGTATTCTGGAGTTTGGAGAAGATAGTATTTTTCCATAGTCCCAGAAGTTATCATTCTTCCTGCCAGAGGACCAGTGTGCATATTATTATCATACTTATTTTACTGTTGTTGTTGTTGCTGCTGCTGCTGTCATGGACTGGCTGGGTGAAAGGGGGGGAGGCACCAGCTGGCGGACCCCCAAGGGAAGAAGGCTCAGAGTCTGGGTCTTGTATGCCCCCAAAGGCTATCAAATCTCCTAGGTCTGACCAATAAAAGGTTAATTTGGTGTTGGGGGGGGAGAATCCAGGTGCGAGGCTGCTCAGCCACCCAGCTCATCGGGCAGAGCCCGTGGGTCCCTGCGGAATAAAGGAAGGAGTCCAGCCACCAACCGGAGCAAATAGCTGTAGATCAAAGTTTATTGCTGGAGGAGACTCTTGAGAGTCCCATGGACTGCAAGAAGATCAAACGCATCCATTCATAGAATCATAGAATCATAGAGTTGGAAGAGACCACAAGGGCCATCGGGTCCAACCCCCTTCCAAGCAGGAAACACCATCAGAGCACTCCTGACATATGGTTGTCAAGCCTCTGCTTAAAGACCTCCAAAGAAGGAGACTCCACCACAATCCTTGGCAGCAAATTCCACTGTCGAACAGCCCTTACTGTCAGGAAGTTCTTCCTAATGTTTAGGTGGAATCTTCTTTCTTGTAGTTTGGATCCATTGCTCCGTGTCCCCTTCTCTGGAGCAGCAGAAAACAACCTTTCTCCCTCCTCCATAGGACATCCTTTTATATATTTGAGCATGGCTATCTGTAATGGTTCTAGGGGTTGCTCGTGCGTAAATTGGTGCCAATTCTTGGCTTGCTCCTCTGGTTGAACCCTTTCTGTGCGGACAGTCACTCACTGTCTCAATCGCTCAATTGCTGGCAGAATCCGTCAGTGGGCGTCTCTTGAACTTCTTCCAACATAAAAATTCCTTGACAGCAAGTCTCCGCCTTTGTTCTCTGCGCGGAAGCCTTCTGCGCAAGAAGGGTGTGGGCGGCGGAGGACCCTCACTTCCCCTGCTGGTTCCCGGCAAGGACTCATGGGAATGCCTCACCGATTCCCCCTTCTGCTCCCCTTCTCCACTGGTGCTATGCTCCCTCCCTTCTCCAGAAGACGGGCTGCTTCTTCCCCTCCCGGGACTCTCTTCAGAATCCCTCTGGAGCTCTCTCTCTCTTTCCATCCCTCATGGCAGTTCCCTGACATCCACCTCCCCTCCAGGACCCCCCTCATCCCCTGCTCGAGTCTCCGATCCCACCTCCTCTCTCCTCTCGGCCAGCAATGCGGGGAATTCCCTGAACGAGCTCTCATCGTCCTCTGAGGATTCAAACCCAGCCTCCCATCCGCTCTGATCTCTTCCCGCTGGTGCCACCTCCCGGCCTGATTCTTCTCCCTCAGACACCTTCCCTCCCTCTTCTTCGGAGGCAGGGAAGCCTACAAAGTCCCCTTCTTCGTCTGTAGTCCCAAATTCTTCCTCCCAAAATCTAGCTAGTGGTTTTGGCTTATCCGGGAACAAACTGTGGAATTCTTCCACCAGAAGCCTGTCTGTGATTGAATCAGCGGGTACCCACGTGTTTTCCGACTGGGGTGCTCCTTCCCAGCCCACCAAGTATTCCACCTGGCGACCTCGCCACCTTGAATCGATTATCTCTGTGGCTTGGTTACAGTGCTCCCTCTCCTCTACCCGCGGGTGGGTGGTGGTTCCCCCTTCCCGCCCCTGAAATTCCCACCCTTCTCTGTACAGTGAAAGTAGGGACCTGTGGAACACCGGATGTATTTTCATGCTGTCAGGCAACTTGAGTTTGAATGCTACGGGGTTCACCTGCTGGATGACCTCGAAGGGCCCCAGTCGCCTCGGCTGCAACTTCTTGCACCCTCCCTTCAGGAGTAACCCGTGGGTCGACAACCACACCCGGTCTCCCACCCGTATGGCATCCCCGTACGTATTCTCTTATGTCCTCCCTCACCTTTGGCCACCAGAACTGTCTGGTGACAAGCAGCATGGTCTTGTGCTGTCCAAAATGCCCAGCTGTTGGGTTGTCGTGGAGTTGTTTGAGTACTCTTCCCCTCAAGGCCTCCCCTGGTACATACAGCGCCCCTTATAATACAATAGCCCTTCCTTTTCCTCAAACCCTCCCTTGTCTTCCCTACCGTCTCGGAGTTCCCTGATTTTTGTCTGAGCGAATGCATCGTCTCTGGTAAGCTCTACCAGTTCTCCCTTCCCAACCAATGTTCCCCCACACACCTACCGGTCCTCGGGGAACACGTGTCGGGCCTCCGGTGGTCCCTCCCCTTCCATGTACTCCGGTTTCCGGGAGAGTGCATCCGCCCTTACGTTTTCCTCTCCTGGCACGTATCGGATCTCGAAGGAAAACTTGGAGAACTCTTGGGCCCATCGAATCTGTCTCTGGTTGAGCACTCGTGCGGTCCGCCAGTATTCCAAGTTCTTGTGGTCCGTTCTGACTTGTATCTTGTGCCGTGCCCCTATCAACAGATGTCTCCAGTGCCGAAAGGCAAGCAGTTCGCGGTCATACACTGTGTAGTTTTGCTCTGACTTGCTCAGCTTCCTTGAGAAAAAGGCACACGGCCTCCAGCTCTGCTTGGCCCCGGTCTGCAAAAGAACCGCTCCAAGCGCTCTGTCTGACGCGTCCGTCTCCAACCTCATGGGCTTCTCCAGGCCCACGTGCAGGAGCTCCTCCTCCGATGCAAACACCTTCTTCAGCTTTTCAAAGGACTGTTGTGCACTTTCTGTCCACACGAACCTTTTTTTGCTACTCAGACAATCCGTGGTGGGCGCTGTCAAGTGCGCAAAGTTCTTTATAAACTTCCTGTAGAAGTTGCTGAAGCCCAGGAACCTCTGCACATCCTTTCTGGTTTTGGGGGCTTTCCATTCCAGCACTGCCTTCACCTTGCCTGGGTCCATGGCTAGGCCTTTGTCTGACAATCTGTACCCAAGAAACTCGACCTCCCTGGCGTGGAATTGGCATTTTTCCAACTTGACCCACAACTGGTGCTTCTGCAATCTCTGTAGCACCTCCCTGACGTCTCTGACGTGTTGCTTCTCATTCTCCGAATATATTAGTACGTCATCTAAAAAGGCCACACAGTTCTTGTACAGCAGGGCCCCCAACACATGGTGCATGAAACCTTGAAAGCAGGCGGAGCCCGACTGCAATCCAAATGGCATGACCAAGTACTCAAAGGCCCCCAGGGGGGTGAACATGGTTGTTTTCCATTAGTCCCCCTCCCTTATCCTAATCAGGTTGTATGCTCCCCTGAGGTCCAGCTTGGTAAAAATCTTCCCCTGCCTCACATGTGTCAAAATGTCATAGATTCTGGGCATTGGGAAGGTCACGGGCTCTGATACCAGGTTCAAGCCCCTATAATCTATGACGAGCCTGGGCTGATTGGTCCCCTTTTTGTCCACAAAGAACACCGGGCTGCCCCCCCACTGCCTTGGATTCCCTTATGAACCCTCTCTTCAGGTTCTTGTCAATAAACTGCCGCAACTCCTGCATCTCCCGGTCAGACATGGCATACAGCTTACCCACTGGTAACTCAGCCCCTGGGAGTAGGTTGATTTGGCAGTCAAAGGGTCTGTGGGGGGGTAGCCTATCTGCCTCCCTCTCACTAAAGATCTCCTTCAG